CATGCCGTAACATTTGGCTTCCCATAAGAATTGTTATCGTATGAGATAGGAAACGTGCATGCGTTACCGACTTACGACACGTACACGTCACGACTTGCCGTAACATTGAAATGGCTTCTTTTAAGAACCATTAATGGTTATCGTATGAGTTTGAAACATATGGCACTGACTTACAGCACGTACACGGCACGGCATGCCGTAACATTGAAATGGCTTCCCATTGTCTTCCAGTAATCCATCCAATCACAACGCGTAGTGCAAAGCATTGCGCTCTTTTTAATGTTTACACCCTGACTAATCAACATATTGAATAASATAAATAGATTCTTACTTGAATCGTTTGTCGTTGATTTTACGTAAGCAAGATTCTTCACGAATTCTTTTTCCATTTCATTCTCCAGCGAGACAAGATCCGCGTCAAGATTATGGCACCGCTGACGAGCGAGTTGATTGGTCAATTTCTCGTTGAAATATTTGTATACAGAGGAATGGTAACGATACCAGTCATTGGGTAATGCTGAAGTAGTAATAACAAGAGAAAATAAATAATTGAGTTCATTTTCATTTGTCATTTTCTCTTGGTAATGATGATAATTACTATATATTGTGTAGTAGTAGCAGCAGTAGCAGCGGCAGTAGCAGCGGCAGTAGCAGCGGCAGTAGCAGCGGCAGTAGCAGCGGCAGTAGCAGTAGCAGTAGCAGTAGCAGTAGCAGTAGCATATTTAATACCTTCTCTGTTCGCGAAGCAATCAAGTGATCGGCTCATCCACTGATCCTTTTTTTCCAGTATCTAGAAAAATAGCCAGCAGAAATATCATTTTTTTGGGAAAAGAGAGGAGCGTCAGAATAAGGTATGAGGTTAGCAACCTTTTTTCTAACAACCTACAATTCATATCCACCCCTCAATTATCAATTGCCGACGCTCTCAAAAAAACATGTTATTATMGCTAATCCTCACTGCAAGTTCATCAGTGGCGCAGCTCAAGCGGGGTCCAACTGAAAGCATGTGAAAAATATCTACTGAAATAGAAACCTGGATAGACAGAGCCAGTTGTGATATCTTTTAATCGTCTTCGTAGCGTCTGTTATGTCTTAAAATGTTACAGCCATTCTCAATCACACGCGCCCTCTAGCGATTGTTTCTGTCACGACGAAGAAGGTTTTGGTGGACGTCAATCACAAGGCATTTCCATAATATTGTCGGAAAACACAAAGCTATAAGTGCACGTGACTATAGAATGTCATGGAAACGCCTTGATTGACGTCCACCAAAAGCTTCTTCGTCACGACAGTAATAATGGCTAGAGCGGTGCGTGTGATTGAGAATGGCTGTAACTTCAATGCACCTTTGGTTAACACAACAGAGGCGATAAGAATATTACAGCTGCCTCCGCGGTCTACTGGGAAGAAKAGTAGACGTTTGCGCTCACAAAGGGAGCTTATCCAAGACCTATCTCGCCTTGCATACATATAAATGCACAGCACATACGCACATTTGCGTCACACGTTGTCCATGGAATGCGAAAAACGTGCGCCCAAAGCAAACCGGTCAGTTACTCACTAGATTCAAATATTCTTGTCCAGACCATGACACGCGAACGTAGTCCGTCGGATTTGCCTGTTTGGTTGACTTGTTCAACTCACACTGGATTCTTGAGTCTTTATCCTTGTGAACATTCAACGAAAAACAYATAAAAGATCGTCTGCATTCTAAGACGCACGACCAGATACTCTCCGTCGATATCCTTTTTATCACATGACCCTGTAGCTTGTATCCCGGATGTGACTCGAAGTAGCCATTGTGACAGTCAGGCTCAGTTGAGACAAGTTGAATGAGACTTGGATACAGGACTAGTAAGATAAGAKGCAGTCCTTGTCCCATGGTCTAGTTTTATAGGAACTGAATTAAACTCTGTTTAGAAATAGTTGGAAATGATTACATATTAAAATTATAGAATAAATAATAGAGGCTTTGCCACATCAC